CCCTCTATTGTTCCTTTGACTCTGAAGAGTTGAACTGTATCCCCAACTAGAGACTTGTTGATATTTAAGTTCTTGAGGATGTGTATTAGGTTCCTTATCTGATTCTTAACAGTAAGTGTGTTAGATCATCAAAACATAACATGGATACACATATAACCTATCAATACCCAGTGTAATCTCACCTTATGGGGCATGAGGAGGATAGTGTATATAGAGGCGGATATAAGCTATACCGAAAGGGGTCACCGACACCCGTTAAATTCGATAAAAATTTCATGTATACATGTATTTGTCTTTAGAAAATAGTAATGTATTAGTAATGGGCATACACCCTATATATACAAAACAGATTTTGGTTGAATCTCAACCTTGAAATTTTAGGTCCTCCTCTGAGTGTGTAAGTATACCTTATCCCTATTTTATGCAGATATAGAGGCTATTTCTGACAGTCAAGCATAAGTAGTATCAGGCCCTTTAGCTATTGTTCTTGAAAAATGACCCGGTCTGGCCCATTCCTCGAACAAAGTTTTTACGGGATTCCTATCTACCAAAATTTTAACTTCGGGTTCCGGCGAAAGAATAATCATTGAGTCCTCCTCTTTCCGGACAACACATACAAAGAGACCTCCAACGGTCAAATAATTTGTGAACCTTAGAGATAGAAATTTAGAACGAGAGATGCAACGTCATTTGCTACGACTAAAAGGAGAGGTGCATATAGGAGTCAAGTTTACTACCACTAAAACTCTGATCAGCGAGATTTGCTTGAGTTATAATTGCATCCTCACTTCTAACCTGTAGATTAAGAAAATGACGGATCCATAACATATATAGTCAGATAGTCTAACACAAATTGATTTTGATATGTATAGGGGTATATATAGTTGGTTCGATTTTTATCAAAATCAAACCAAACCAATTATATCGTTTTGGATTAGTTCGGTTTTGTCGGGGGGCTTTATGTTTTATTTTACATGAATATTATTTAAATTTTGCTTTGTTAAATTTCTTCTAAATAACTATATATTTAGTAAAAAATAAAAAAAAATGACAAACAAATGGATTTATTAACATATTCTTACAAGAGAATTTTCTTAGTAACATATGATAGTTTAATTTTTAGTCGTCTGACAATAATTTTTTGTTGATATACACTTTCAAGGTTAACTGAATTTAATAATTAAACATAAAAAATTAGTATGATACCTATATAATGATATGTTCTATTTAATTTTAAATTATCGAAATACCACTTCAAATTCGCAAAAGATATAAGAATTTTGGATCTTGATTTATGAATATGGAAGAACAAAGAGATATTGACACATTTTACTAACATTTGATAAGAAAGTGATCATACAATCATTATTTAAAGATAATAAAAATAGAGCACTTCATATTTAATTAAATATTACATCTCATCAGAGAATCGCAAATATTTCTAGACATATTTTTTAGAAAAATTCTATGAAAAGTCTTAAAAGTATATATAAAAATTATATATTTATATGTCAGTTTGGTTCGAGTTTTTATTCAATACCAAATAAATTAAACCAAACCTAATCGGATTTTTTAATCGGTTTAGTTTGACATTTCGATTTGGTGCGATTTTCCGATTCGATTTTCTACACCATAGTACATAACTCAAAAGTTAAATTGGTTATGGTATATTTTTACAATGTGTGACCAACCTAAAACATTGCATTGCAGTTTAATAAAGTATTGGTTAGTATCTTTAATTTTAACAGTTTAGATCAAATTAAATAGCTATCAGTTGGTCAATTCGGTTACTATGGGTGTGTTTGGTATAACGAAAAATATTTTTTGTGGAAAATATTTATCAAATATTTTTCAAGAAAATATTTTCTTGAAAAACAAGTAATAATCTTATTTATTTTTCGATGTTTGGTACACAAATTAAGGAAAATAACTTTTCAATAATATTCATAAATAATTTATATACAATAAACATGAAGCATCGGTGGGGGAGGGCAGAGAGGGGGGAGGGATGGTGCAGAAAAACGAAAATACAGAAATTTAAAAATACAAAAAAAAAAGTAGAAAAAATAAAAAAAATTGCAGCGGAGGGGGNGAGAAGGGGGTGGGGGTTGGGTAAGATGTGAGGGTACGTGGAGTTTTTGGAAAATATTTTCGTAACTTTTTCTAAGGAAATTATTTTTCTCCAATTTTAGAAAAATATGATATCTAGAAAAATATTTTCCAAACTATTTTGTGCAACCAAACGGTAAAAAATGGGAAAATATTTTCCGGAATACCAAACACACCCAAAATCTTAGCTTATTAATATCTACATTAGACTGAAAAGAGGGAGTGTTTTTTTTCTCAATCAAATAAAAACCATACAACAATTGCATGTGGGTTGTGATTGTTAAAATGGAAAATTCAATTGAATGGAGTATCAAAAGATCTAGAAAAAAAAACTTGCCGAGTTCAAAGTTTTATAAGAGGTAATGGACGCCAGATATGCTAGTTAAAGAATTTAGCTTCTATCATTCCTCATTCAAGAATTTCTATTTCCTCTATACTAATTCCTATACATGCTTCCTTTTTCTGCCTCAAGAAATTAAAAAATAAAATTTAAAAATATCTTAATTTTGTTTAGTGTTCTTATTCTCAATTTAACAAATTATGCCATATAGAATGATTTGCATCTATACCTCGTTTTTGGGTTACCTTTTAACTTATACCCGCTTTGCAAAAATAATTGCAAGCGTAACCATTTTTCGGGTAACTTCAGACATACGGGCCTGAAGTAGTGCAATGGCAAACTTCAGCTCAATAAAACTACAACATGTTTTGGCTGCAGTTTTTGTTTTGTAATTGCGAACTTCAGCATTCTAGGAGTTGAAAGTTTGTTTAGAATTTGCCTAACTTCAGCATTCTAGGAGCTGAAGTTTGTTTAGTATTTGTTGAACTTCGGCATTCTAGGAGCTGAAGTTTGTTTTGTATTTGCTGAATTTCAGCATTCTAGGAGCTGAAGTTTTTGTTTATATTTGTTGAACTTCAGTTCGATTATTTTGTAATTGAAAACAAAAAAATGTGTACTGTGATACAAATTTACGAGTATCTTGTGCTAATTCATTGTATAGGAAAAAAAATGCATCCACCTAACTAGAAACAAAGGAGACGAAGTGCAAAAACGATGCATCAACAGTTTAACATGCAGCTAGAGCAGAAAACAATGAAAGAATCTGCATGTTTCTTGCTCTGTTCACAAAATGCATCTTCTATTGAAAGCTTGGAGGTGAGCGGCAGTTGAGTCGAAAATTTTGAGAAGAAGAAAACGAAGGAGGAGAATAAGGAGGAGAAAGAGACCTGAAGTTATTTAAAAAGTGAGTACAAGTAAAAGGAAATTTAAAAAATGAGTATAAGTTAAGTGGGGGCGACCAAATAGGACGCCCCGTACAATTTTTGGTGGGGCTACTTTAGTGGGCTTGACCAAAAAAGGTTAAGCCCACTAGTAAAAATCCAATGAACATTAAAAAGAAAAAAGAGACATACAAATACCAAAGACTGAAAAAATGTATTGCAGAATACCAAATTGAAAGAGATAGGTGCCACAAGGAAACACCCAATGTTGAAGAAATTACAACTCGAAAAGTTGTATCACCCAATAGAAGTAAAGTGAACATAATCTATCTCAACTCGGTAATTGGCTGCCGTAAAAACATAAAAGGCATTTGACCAGACCTAATTGAACTGATCGACTGCCCACCACCAATAAACAAAATCTGCCAATGCACTTGGGTAAAGGATTTGGTTGAAAATCAACTTTGAATTTGTCACATGCAAATCAATGGTTTAATCTCAGATACAATTCTATACTATCTTTTGGTAGAGAATTGAGTGGTAAGTTTATGCGAAATTACTGAAAATTCACATTCTAGAGGTACTAGATTTGATTCTTATTACACTAAATTTTTCTTTTATTCCTATCTCTTATTATAGCCACCAACTTGTTTATGTTGCGGAATGTTCAAAAAATGCTAGTTTTGGGCATGTCTGATCAGGGGCAGAGCTAGCATTTCAAATACTGGTTCGTCTAATTCGTCTAAACCCTATAACTTTTGCTCAAACTCTGTATTTCTCTTAAAAAATTATTGAATTACACATAAATTATTAATTTATAACCCAGTGACTTAAAAGAATTAAAATAGTGAACTCATAAATTTCAAATTCTGGCTCCGGCTCTGTATCTGATATGTCCACAGTCCATATATCCACCCTCATTTCGGTTAAAATAACATTTCTAAGATTATGGACAGATTCCAAGGGGGAGAAGGACTGAGTTCCTTGATTTTCCACCTTAACTTTAACTTTCATTCAACCCAAATGAAACCTTGAAGTTCTTGGATTGCTTACTTGAAAAGCAGGACTCCTCATTTTCAACACGTTGTTTTATTCATCTTCGCAAGGCTTAGAATTATTTTATATATTTCTGTACATAACAGTAACAACAATAATAATATCAACAACATATAATATCAACAACATACCAAGTGTATTCACACAGGTGGGCCTGGGGAGGGTAATGTGTACACTGACCTTACATCTGCCTTGTGGAGATAAAAAGATTGTTTCGGATAGACCCTTAACTTAAGAAAAGTATTTCAAAGCAGGTTTGAACAAGAAAAAAAGCAGGTTTGAACAAGAAAAATAGTAGTGAAGAAGTCATGTCGAAAATAATGAAAATAAGAATAGTAACAACAGCAAAATAACAAATCAGCAAAATACATAAAAGGAAAAACATTTATACTTGGCTACTCAAAATTATAACTTCAATTGGATCCACTCCAAGAATTTATCATGCTTCCAATGTTAGCCCTGCTGCTAAGATTCTCCTTTGGCTAAACAGTTCATAGTTTTTCATTATCCAATCTGAATGCAGCCGTAGCGATCCACAATCATCAATAATCAGATAAATCATTAACCTCGAGCGAAAGATTTGAAGAGACTCGAGAATGAGGATTAAGCAAATATCAGATAATACCTACACACGGCATTTCAACCCAAATATTTGTATAAACAGTCCAAGTCCTTGAAAATGATAAGTACAGAAAGGGTGAAACAAGACTAGCACATTTCTTTTCCCAATTATGCTGTAGGGTAAATATTTTCCGCATTTTCTTGATTTTGAGAACAAGACAACTCAGAGGTAGAGAGCGGAATCACACTTATGTACCCAATGGCTAAAAAACTATTTGGTTTACTAAATTAACAATTTGAAACTTTTGGTTAACCAGGTGAAGCCGCCTCTTCTTGTCACTGGCAAGCCAATTGTCTAAAGGGAACCCCACAAACAATGAAGATATGATATAGAAGAATCTGATCGAGTACTTAATTATGATGAATGAAAGAGCGACCAGCATAAACTTTACTCATTCCCCAAGTTGAGTGACCCATCCTTCATTAGCTTCACACTTAGACTATTAAATCTCCCCCTTGAATAATGTCGAGAAGCCTTTCTCCAATCTGTCCCAGTTCTCATCATGGCTACAAATTCTTCATAGCTAATGCAGCCATCCTGAATTCATCAAAAAGAGAAGATAAGGAAGATATGATCCTACTATAAATTCAAGTTCAGTTGTAGAAAAGTGTCTGCAGTCTGTTCACCTTGTCCGTATCAACCTCCTGTAAAATGTCATTCACAATGTTGGTGCAGTCACTTGCCCCATCCTCCATCAGTGCATCTTGAAGCTCATGTGGTTCAATATATCCATTGCCATCCTTATCAAAGTAGGAGAAAGCCTTGTGCAAATGTTCATCATTTGCCATCCTTTGAAGATGGAGAGAAACGGCAATAAATTCCCCATAGTCCAGGGTCCCCTTGCCGTTGGTATCAATCTGTTAGAACAAAGTAATCCCATAAGCATTTACGGCTTTGTCATTTAACTTCTTATCATTTTTCCTTTCGCTTTCAGCTTTTTTTACTCTACTATTTCTTTTAAAGATAAAGAGCAGGGATTTAACATGTAAGTATTTTGACCTGAGCTTCATTTCAGTGATAAAAAGTTAAGAACTATAATAATTAGCTAAGAAGACAGCACACATAAATCACGTTAAGGACTAAACACTGACCAGTAAATGTGATATTACCACTTTAGCAGTGTATAAGGGGAACATCTTAATTGAGTATCAAAACAAAATAACAGAGCAAACATCGAACTAGCATCTAAATTTTGTTGGCCTTAAGCACTAACAGGGGTCGCACTCTGGGAAACCTAGTTGAGAAAACTTAAATAAATGACACAAGCCTGCTGATGACTATGAGGGGAAGAGAGCAATTTAAAAGTGCAAAGCAGATTAAGCAAGAGCAGAAACATGGAGAATCCTGCATTTCCTCCAAAAATGAAAAACAAAATTTAGGAGAAAGGAAATTAGCCGTTTTTTTAATTATAGGTAAACCTAAGTCTAGATCCTCTACTACTCTAGTAAAATTAGTTAACTTGTTCTTTTGAAGAGATAAATAAATACATTATCCACATGAAGATATATATGTAAGAAGCTCAATATCAAGAGGAAGAATACATATTTCGATTGACAAAGTAGGAAGAGTACATAATTCTGCCACTTAGTTTTCTATTTGGCCTTCCCTAGTTTTAACTTCTGATCTACCTTTTGCTCAAACAAGTGAGAAAACCACATTCATCTACTTATTTAGCAGGTTTAATTGGCACTAAAACAAGAAGGTAGCTCAAGCAGATTATAGTCTTAAACAAAATTATTGGAATGCGAATGGCAACTTGACATATAACAGATCTTAAATCATGTCAAGATCATAACTGAAGCAGATACTATCAGCCCCGCAGTACCACAGATGTTGCTTCAATATGATAATAGCAGACTCTAAGCAGCATGTAAATGTTAGCCCACAGCAAAAGTGGGAAAGTGAGACTCATTCGATAAGGAATATGAAGGAAGACTCACTGCTTGAATAAGCATCTGTATTTCAGATTCTGCCAGCTGTGAATTGAATTTTTGAAGCCCGGCTTTTAGTTCCTCAACTGAAACAATACCGTTATTATCAGTATCTATCTTGCTAAACATTTCTTTGAGGTCTTCAACTTCTTCATTAGACAAGAAATCAGCAATCACCTGCACGTGGAGGAGCATCTTTTAATGCTTCCAGAAGCATGCAAGTTAAATACAGTTCAAAATGCGTCAGATTAAAGAACTAACCCTCAGAGCTTTCCTCTTAAACCTATTCATCATTGAAAACTGCTTAAGTCTTGATTTGACAACATCTCCAAGAGGAACATTAGGAGCCTTCTTAGCATTTTGAAGCCAAGGATGTTCTACAAGAAAGACACTTCATTAGCAAAACACATGAAGCATCACAGTCATATACTAGTGTTACATTAAAAGTCCACTGATTGGGAATCTCAACAATCAGAACTACCGAAGATAAACATATATCACAAGAATTTCAGCAGATCCCAATTAAAGTAACTTGAAAGATGAATATGGATTGCCACTGTTTTCTTTCCATTTTTTTAATCTACTTTGTATCATATTCAGTTATATCTACCTTTTTTTTAACTAGTTCTCAAAATTTACATTACTGCTCTATTTCCTTTTTCTTTTCCGCATCATCCCAAATTTCACAGGTTGCTTGAGTTGCAAAGAACATTGCTTTTCCAACTTTATAAACGTCATTGAGATAGAATATAATGGGGAGCAAGAGTATGCAAACCAGGAACTTATGGTGAAACTCATAATAGTTTCAAATAAACATTTAGATATTAAATAAATGTATAAGAAGTATAGGCCTTATAAAACACAATTATCGATCTCGCCCTGTGGTTTCCATTGTTAGATTTCACCACTAGGTGGATCTCCTGCCACAAAAGCTGAGCCCTCCAATTGGCAGGGTACTTAGTTGGATATTTTGGCAAGTTATCAAACTGCATTGCATGTTTGCCTGCACAACTTTAAGCATATCTAGAGCAGATTGATCTCCAACTGAGCTACTTAGAAGGTGTGCCCTGTGGAAGGCAAGGGTTTTCTCAAAGAACATACTCACCACTGTGACTTCATCCAAAAAAAAACCACTGTGACTTCACCAAAAAAAAAAAAAATCACATGTGAAACTCAACTTACCAAGTACTTGTTTAGCAGTTAGTCGAAGCTTTGGATCTGGCTCCAACATTTGTTGTACAAGATTTGTAGCAGTCTCTGAAATACTCGGCCAGGGTTCACGCTTGAAATCTATTGCTCCACGTAAGATGGCCTGAGCAACACCTTGTTCAGATTCTGTATCAAAAGAGAGACTTTATCAAATGCGAGTAGTTTATATGTGAGATCATACAGATGAACAAGAAGAGGGAGGGGGAAGGTTCAAGTTCGCGAATTTACCAGCCCAAAAGGGAGGAACTCCACATAACAAAATATACATAATGACTCCTGCACTCCATATATCTATTTCTGGTCCATAGTTTCGCCTGAGCACCTCCGGAGCCATATAATAAGGGCTTCCAACAATTTCAGAAAACCTCTCACCTAAACACAACCACAAAACTTTCGAGAATTAAACATGATTAATGTGTTATAAAAAAGATTGATGTGCTATATGAGATTAAATATAACAATTTTCCATATGCATCAATGTTAGCTTTTGTGCATCTATGACATGTTACATACATGGCAAAACATGTCCCTGCCAATCCTACAATGGCGTTCTCTAACCATTTATTCATATTCGATCATCATTGAAGGCTACATGGAACCATAAAACAGAACAAGACACAGGACAACGAACCATAATATCTTTTCCTTTGTTAATTATTTTCAATTGTTTGTCACATCTCATAAAACTGCAGTTCCATCAATTCCACAAGGATACATTGGAATTACTTGACCACAACATATTAAGACAGTTAGTAAGCATCACAATCATGCCAGAACTGGATGCAGTTCTCATTTGCAACTCCTAAAGATCACTTCTTAGATCATACATCACAGACATATATTGCGGTTAGAGATACACATGAACATGTCCTTTGCGTTATTCAGGGGTTATAATGAAGAATAATGAAAGTCAAATGAGAGTTTTACAATCCTGCTCTTAGTCAACAGTTACTTCTAAAAATGCCTCGGACAATGATTACATAGGCTTCTATACTCTATTTTGGTACTAGCTACGATAAACTTCAAGCATCATTATATAACATTTGAATATTTATTAACAGATTATGTTACTCAAATAAAAATAGCTAGCACACAATTCTTCAATAAATTTACACAGAGGCCTAATGTATGCAGGCTAAAGTTATTTTGATGTTCTGTACAGCCATTGCAACAAGCACTCACATCGATGAAGCACCTTGCTAGCTAGACCTTAAATCAGATCATATACAATCTTCCACAGACAACATCAGGCACACTCAAGTTATGAATAGCTAGATGATAATCTTTTCAGATAAGTTGAAAGAAGGGGCTTACTTTTTGGCTTTTAAAAAAAAGTTGATAGAAGGGGCTTAGGGAGTGCAGGTTAACATGAATTCGATTGTTCCATACTGTCATTGCATCAAGCAGTCAGATGAATGGAACTCCTAGATAGAAATATATTGAAAATCAGAAGATGTTTGAAGCGCGGTGAGCTTAAAGATCAAAATATATATTTGAAGTCCAACGAACCTAATGATTTCATAATGATATAATCAATTGCAAGCCTCAAAAGTTATATTAAGAAACAAAAACTTGGTTCATCGCAATAAACATGTCCAGACAACAAGCAGTGCTTCTTTGTTTGTAAAATTTAAAAATCAGTGCTTCTTTGTTTATAAAACTTAACCCCTTTGCTGCTAATTCCACTAACATCAAAATCATTACTATTGTCTTTGTTCATTTAATCATAAAACTCAATCAAACCTCAGTGGATTTGGCATATAGTAACATGAAAGATGCATGCATAACATCCTCTTTATCCACTGTCTGAAGTACCACTCCAAAAAAGTATCCGAAATAAATTTATCACGTGATTCTTCCCAGCATAGAAAAGAAAAACATTACTGATAAGACAAAATCTTGAAGAACAATACCACTTTAGTGTACAAAGAATATCTCCTAATGTTTATTTATGAAACACCAATTAAAGTTTTCTTTTTTATACCTGGCTGGAAGAATATGGACAAACCAAAATCAATAGCCTTAAGTGGCGAATTCTCCTTTTTATTAGCAAACAAAAAGTTCTCAGGTTTCAAGTCTCGATGAATCACACCATTCTTATGACAAAGCTGCACCACTTCCACAACCGTCCGCATGACAGCCGCAGCAGCACGCTCCGTGTAATGCCCCCTTGCCACTATCCTATCAAACAGCTCGCCGCCTTCGCACAACTCCATAACCAAATGCACCGCATTCTCATCCTCACAAGCTTCCTTAAATCTCACAATGCTGGAATCTAACGGCAAATGCTTCATTATAGCCACTTCTCGCCTTACATCCTCTATATCAACAGATGTTCTAAGTTTTCGCTTCGAAATCGACTTGCAAGCCAAAATTTCACTGCTGTTACGATCGGTACAGAGGTAGGTTATTCCGAATTCACCTCTTCCTAATTCTCTATCAACTAAGTATATTTCCTCGATATTCGATTTCTTTACGTCGGCTAGTACGGTGATTGGTTTTTGGTTTTTTCCGGCGCCGGAGTTTTCTTTCCGGCGGTGATCGTGGCCGGAGTAGTTTGATGATTTTACGTCTTCTGTCGCTACTGCTGCCGGAGATATGCAGCAATTCCCCATTTCTGTAGAGCTATAACTTAGCTAGGGTTTCACATGATTGAAGTGCGAAACCGTAGCTATAACAGAGGAGAATAGCAAAATGTGAATGCATCAGTGAGCTCACAGTTATGTGGAGAAGAAAGGAAGGTTCGAGGTGGAGGGGTGGGACTGCAATTAGTGATGCGTATGGTGTCGTTTTGGTGTTTTTGTAATGGGAAATGTATTTTTTTGACAAAATTACATGATAATGCATTCCGTCAGTTGAACTTATATTATTTTAGATCACTTACGAGTTTATAAATGTGTAGCCAAATATCAATAAGCTTAGATCTGAATTTTTTTTCCAGTTTTTTTATGCTGTATATTTTCAAGGGTGAAATATTTCCATTCTTCTTTTTCCTCAAGTTTCTACACACCTATCACAACTATAAACGGACACAAGAAATCTAGAATCTCATCTTCTTTAATGCTAATATTGTTAGATTTTGAATATAATTTTGTGAGAAATTTGAAGTGAGTATTGTTTGAACTTATTATAATTAGTCTAAATAGACTGTATACAAATTACAAAGTTTGAAGTCATTTAATGGAGATTTGACATAGTTTTAATCAAGAATTGTAAGTGAAAATCGTACAAAAAGTTCGTCAGAGATGCTTATACATTTTTATACAATATTATACACTTTTATACAAAGAGGTATATTATATATATAGTTGTATAAAAATGTATAAAGATGTATAAGCACACTAGTGAAAATATTAGTGATACACCATGTATATAGGTGTAGTAGTTGAACAAGAAGAAGAAGAAGAAGAAGAAGAAGAAATCCACCAATTACCTATAAATAATGTATCAACCTTGTATAAAATAATGTATAAGAGGTATTTATACACCATTATACATTACTTATACAATCATTTTCTCTCTCTTCGACTAATGGTCGACTTCGACCATCTCCCTCCCTCTCCGACGAACGCCCTCTACAGGCGAGCCGGCGCCGGCCTCGTTGAGTAGCGGCCCAGGTAGTTCGTTTTTCCTATCTCTTATACTCTCTCTTTCTTCTATCCCCATTTCTCTCGCACCTCTCTCTTCTCTTCTCCCCTCCCCCTTCTCTCTGTCAACCCTAGTTCTCTCCGCCGGCGACAGCTCTTGCCCCCCTTTACGCCTCGCCCTTGCCCTCCTCCCTCCTTCTTCTCTCTTTCCCCCATTTTTCCTCTTCTTCTCCTTGCGGCTGTTTTGGGGTCTTGTCAACGGCTGCCTTTGCCAGTACCTACTCTGGCGTCGTGTAAGTGGGTAGCCAGGGCTGCCAGGTTAGTGGGTCACCAGGTTCGGTGGTGACAGCCCCCTTCCCCGTTTGGTTTTCGTGGTTCTGTTGTAATTTTCCAGGTGGATAGTCGCGGCGTACGGGCAAGCAGCACGGGTCACCTCCAATTGGAGTTAGCAAATGACGACAGGGATTTGGAAGGGAGCGCGACAAGTTCCTCAACCTCGGGTGTACACTGATCCAGGTTCTATTCTCGGGAGTTGGTACCTCTCGTTCTCTGTTTTCCCTTCCTCTTTTGTTAGCTTCTTGTTGTCATATTAGTCGATACTAGTCTAGTCATAATATTAGCGGGTCTGTAGTTACAACCTGTTTTCTTCGAGTTTGGTCAGTCACTTGTCCTGTGGTAGCGATTTCCCTTTGTCTATGTATTCCATTTTTATTTATTGTTTCTTCATTTTCTAAGGTAGATTTCAGTTCAGATTCGTTAGGGTTTTGGGAGCTGCTCTTTTATTTACTGTTTCTAAGGTAGATTTCAGTTCATTTTCTAAATTTGAGGATTCCCTTCCCGCTCTTAGCCAAAATAAATAAAACAGGAGGATTCCCTTATATTCTCGTTTTCTTCTTCTCCTTTCCTGGTACATTTTATATTGTTGGGGCTATACCAGTGGTAGCGGTGATAGCTCCTTCTGGTTTTTGGGTCGTGGTATTTTCTGTGTTTTCAG